TTGTATCTGTGAGTTAGCCGTGCCCTGACTTAGATCAGTCCAGAGGTTGTTTCAGGGTTGTATCTGTGAGTTAGCCGTGCCCTGACTTAGATCAGCCCAGAGGTTGTTTCAGATAAAATATCAAGGTTTTTTTATTGTTAGGTATACTGTGGAAAGATGACAGGGCAACAGCTGTCGCTTGAGTCTCTACATGCCTACATTGATACCATGGTGCGAAAGGTTCGTGATGCACAGGAACATCAGGTGGTTGTACTAGAAGAAAGGGTGAAAACATTAAAGAAAACTGTCACGGATATGACAAAGAAGCATGGGAAACTCCTTTCGGCTTACAGGTAAGGAATCACAGGTTAACATCACTTGACCATAAGCTTGTAGGAAATTTTCTCACCGCAAAACCTAACAAGATGAATTCCAATTCAGTGGCGGATCCAAGGGAGGGGTTCAGGGGGTGCGCACCCCTCCCTGGTTCAAATCTGTGCCCCTACTTCAAAGATAACCAATGATAGATAATGTTTTTTTCCCTTTGATTCCAAGAGGTGCACCCCTCCCTGGGTTAAGTTTGTGCAGTGCACCCCTCCCTCAACAAATTCCTGGATCCGCACCTGCAATTTCATTTCATGCATTGACTTAAATCATCCCAGAGGTTGTTTTAGGGTTCGGTCTGTAAATTAGGAAATCATAAATTTCAAATAGAAAAAGGCAAAAGGCCTGCGAGCTTTGATGTGAATCCTCTGATTGTTCTTGTAGTGTTCTGCGGTTTAATGTTGAAGCTGCTAAAGGCCATGTTGAAGAGAATGAAAATGTCTATGTGCCAACAGAAGAAGAGTTAGACAAAGCCCAGGTACTAAAAGATTTCATACTGATAAGAACCAAGGAAAAACCGCCAACCTTCTCCAGGTTTACTCATGATGGTTAGGTATCAGTCGTGGTGCAGGAATTCAAACCTCAGCTGGGAAGATCTTTTAAGACCTTAAAAGATACCTCAATATTAGATGCGGACTTTGCTCTAAGTTTCTGCAAATTGTTAGATCTTCGCCCGGGGGGGGGGGGGGGGNGGGGGGTACTACCACCCCAACTTGGGTAGGGGTGTGCCGCCAGGACCTCAAAACCCTGACCTTATCCCAGACCTAAAATTTTGATTTTACATACCCTACCCCAGACTAAAACTAAGAATTGTACACCCTATCCCAGACTAAAAGACGGAAAAGACGGTTTTTCAATAGGTTGCAATCAATATTTACTAACGTTTTTTATTGTTTTTGTGCCGGCAGAAAGCGTAGCCTATTCGCCAGACAAAAATGACCATCAGTTCCGACTGTCATGTGTCACACTCTTTAAATAAGGCTGATTTTTTAAGCCTCTTCTAATTAGAAAACGAGTTTGAGTAACTTTGGTTAATTACATCATTGAACGAAATGCATAACTCATAGATTTTCCACTAATGCAGATATTCTTAATCTTGTTTCTAGTCCAATGAAATAAGAAAATTAACAGCCAAGCTACACAGTTATGAAAACGAAATAAAAGAACTAAAAAAACAGGTGGGCTATTTCCCAGTATTTTTTCCTTCCATTCAATAATTCCTAAAATTTATTTTTCCCATTTTTACTTAATAATTAATTCATTCCTTACTAGATATCCAGTGTGTCAAACAAAAAAGAGAAATTCCAGCAAAATGATTTGTGGATGACCTTGGATGGGATAGAGGGGAGCAAAGAAATGTAAGAGATTCTTAAATTTTAAAAATATTTATGAATGTATTTCATGATGCACCCACCTCCTTCATTCATTTTGTTATATTTGTAGAGCAATCTCAGGTTTATCTGATGTTAACTGGAATAATCTCAGAAAAATGTTGAGGGAGTTTACCTTAAATACACAGGTAAAAATAGAGACATTCTCTTCCTGGTTATGCCTCCATTATCTACACAGGTATGGGTACCAGGGTATTTAACTCCTACTTTGTGACTTTTTGGTTTCAGGAAGAGTTGGAGACTGAGAGAGCATCACTTTTGACACGTTGTGTTGTGGCTGAAGAACAGGTTACGACGTTGCAAGAATACATTGATGTGCAACTTAAAAAGTAAGCCATTCAGGTTTAAATACCCTCCAGGGGCATAGCGAGGTCCCCATCATGGGGGGGGGGGGGGGGGGGGAAAGAAACCATTTTCCAGGTCAATACCCATGCATATATGTTTCATCTTTTAATTAGAGCTTCCTACCATATCAACTGATTCAGTCCTTCCTCTCCACTGCGTCACATATACTCTGAGACAGCCTCTAGGCAGATAAAAGTCAGGGCACAGCTAACACACAGATTGGAAAAAAATGGGAATTTAGCTTGTTAGGTTTTTCCAGAGGGAGGAAAACTGGAGAACCCAGAGTCAAGGGATACTCAATCATATGTGATGTTAAGACCAGGAATCGAACCTGAGACCCCTATACCATGCAACCTTGGTTCTTTCAGAGTTAACAAATTCTGGACAGGGATGTGTCAATGGCTAATTATTAGACTCAGAATCAAGAACTATGGAAATTCCAACTAGTGCCTGAGTTAAAGTCCTAACTAATAATATTATTTATTGTTAATAAATTTATAATCTTATTCAATAATTAGATACTTTAAAGAGATGACTGACTTGAAAAGAAGAGTAGGTAAGAATGACAGAACCAACAGTGCAGATGCATCCTTCTCATATCCAAGGTGAAAATGGTGATATGGTGTTATGCGGGAAATAGAAAAAAAGAAAAATTGAATTAAACAATCTATACTTGAAAGCTTGTTAAGAATAAACCAAGATTAACAAGATGTGTGTGCCATGTTATCAAAATATACATGTAATCTCACAAAAAACACATGGATGTATTGAGAGTATCTCAAGATTAACAAGATGTGTGTGCCATGTTATCAAAATATACATGTAATCTCACAAAAAACACATGGATGTATTGAGAGCAGAGAGGAATGGATCAGGGTTGAGAGAGAAATGGCTAAAAAACACAAGAAACAATGGGTAAAATAGGGAGAAGGGAGAGCCAGCACAAAAAGGGAGAGTATCATCAATCTAATTTGATGAATAATTTGTCAAGTTTCGTTTGTGGAGGGAAAGACAGCTAAGAAATTAGGGGGAGAGAGATGGCATGAAAAAAAGGGAGGGAAAGATTTAAATGCCTGTTCCTCTCAGCTCTTTTTAGACAATCTACCAATACAAACAAAACGAGTTTTGTAGATATGTTGTTATATAAAGAAACAAGAATACTTTAGGTAACAGAAAGTGTGTATACTAACCACCAAGATTAAGACTTCTTAAGCCTTATCATGTAAAAGAATAAAACAATAAACACTCTTTCTTTTTTGTTATTTGTTTATTGGTAAGATTTATAAAAGATAGTCATTAATTATTAGACTGTGCTGCTGTAAATAGACAATGGTATGATGTCATCCATGTGTTAATAATAGATCACATCAGATCAATGTCAATAGACCAATATTAAGCTTGGGCAATTGGCAGTATGTTTTCCAAATTTTGATCACATATCATTCCCAAGAGTATTGTTCCTTTACCAAACACTACACCAATCAAGAACACCCAGACAAGTTTTCATACAAATTAGCCAATCATGATTAAGTATTTAACAATAGAATCTGTACAAATTTTCCCCTTAAAAGCATATACTTTGCTCTATACATGTGTGTGTGCGATCAGGAGCGAGCAAGAAACAGTTTAAAATCCAGCATTCATCACCATCTTGTTATAATCAGCATCAAAAATGTAATTTGTGAATTCAATTTAAAATTTGTTTGGGTGGCCTTGGTTAATGCAGTCGCAACAAAGAAGTTGTGCACAAAAAGACACATGAATATGGATGCAGCTCAAATGAAGATTCTTATTCTCAAGGGAATGGCACATGGTCTGAATGGGAAAACATTATGCCCGAGCTAAATGAGGTCCATTAAAATTATTGTAATAAAATTGTTTATTAAGAGTAAAATAATATTCTTCGTCATGTGAGGTTTGAGTAAAGCTGGCTTGTTTTAATAGTTTTTAAAATGTTTTGTGGGATTACCTGTGGTAAGGTGAGTGCAATGATTTATTCTTACCAGAAGGCAATGTTGCAGTCAATATTTTCCCATTTCAAACCACATATCATTTCATAGTGTGTCACTTTTATGTTGGAGAGTTGTGCATGAGAAGGCAGGGATATTGATACAACTCAAACAAGAATCCTTATTCTCAAGGGAATGATACGTGGATGGGAAAGGATTACGCCCAAGTTACAGGGCTATACATCATCACAAGATTGATATCTGATGTTTACTCAAGGAAATATGATACTTTAGTTTGAGCAATTATTATTATTAGTCACTGACCTTGTCCACTGCATAGCAGGTTATTGACTCTCTTCTCATAAAGGACAACTCCTCTGTGGTCACCGAGCCAGAGACTCCTCAATGTTGGATACTATCATACATTACCATGAGAAAATGAACTAAGAGAAGGAATCCCCACACCCCATCACCAGCACTCTTTGATGCTATTTTTAGAATCTTTGATGCTATTTTTAGAATCCTTCATAAGATTCATTTGATGGCTAGTTTTTCTGCATGTGCACACTGTGCGCACTCTATGCTGTTTGCTCATGTTTTCTTGTGTTTTTCTAAAAAAAACGTAAGCAAACAGCATAGAGCTCGTGCATAATGCACATACAGAAAAACAAACAATGGCAAATATGATTCTAAAAATAGCATCAAACGGTGCCTATGATGGTTACAAGCATGAATACCAGAGATTCCTTCTCTTGGTTGATTTTCTTGTGACAGTACTCATAAAGGTACATTAAACAGTCGTATATCATCCCCCAGGAATCCTACTCTACAACATACCTGCCATTACCAAACCTACTGTAGAATCTGAATAATCACCTCCTCAATACTGTATTTCTAGCGTCTAGTGTAAGGACATAGTCTGGTTGCTATTGATATCCAATAAAATATTTATAATACCTTATTCAAAGATAATCTAGGGGTTACATCCCAATCGGTTACCCCCTTGGCCTACCCTACCCCACAGTGACACTGTACTTTCTGGTCCTTCAATGACACAGTTTGGAAGCAATGTTTTGATACTATCGAGACCTGTAGATGTAATCTTAGGACACTCCACAATATTCAAAACTGTCAATTTCTTGCAGTGTTCGGCAACACTAGCCAGGCCAGTGTCAGAAATCTCATGACATTTTGATAAACTTAAATAATCAAGCTCTTTCAAGCCGTATACCAGGGCTCCAATACCAATGTCTGTGACAGAACGACAGTTTTGAAGGCTCAAAGACTTTAAATTGATCAAGTGTCGTCCAATGTGATGAAGGCCGAGGTCCGTTACTGAAGTACAGTCTGAAAGGTCTAAATGAGTGAGATCCTCCAGTTTTGTAGCGATGCACTGTACGCCATTATCCGTAATTCTATAACAATTACTTACATTTAACCGTTTTAGAGTAGAGAGTTTACCAATACTATTCACATCTGTGTCAGATACACGAGTACAATACGTAAGGTTAAGATCCTCAAAATTCTTCAAGAATGGGTCGGTCTTTAAGCTATCAAACCAGCCTAAAGGAATAATAGAATGATCCAAAGATAACGACTTCAGCGAGTGAGGAAGACAACTTACTTCAACATTCCTCATATCGCAATAACAGAGTGTAAGTTTTTCCAAATTTGGACATTTTGTTTTGATTTCTTCAAGCAAAGACAACGAAATCTTGTCATTTTTTTTAGCCGTACCAATAAATCCCTTAATCTGTAATTCAACAACACTCTCTGAGATTCGATTCCTAACCACTTTCCACAAAGTTCTAAGAGCGAGTGGCCAAGGACGAAGGTCCACAGATCTCCAGAGGGAGCGGTCTTTACCAAGATGATACCAGCGACGACAGACCTTAGATCCTGAGCACAAGCTCTTTATATCAAGAAAACTGAAGATTATTAGCATTATATTGTCGGGTAGCTTGCAGATCTGTGACGTCTGGACAATTTTAGCAGTGTTTTTCCATTGCTGTGCACGACGTTTGGCTGCTTGGTTGGACGCCATCTTGTTTTGACAGCGGTAAATATCGCTGGCTCAAAATCTTCCGCACCGCAAAATTACTTCCGGCCTTGCCGCAGCACTTCTGGTCCTTCGACCATTTCTAAAATCTTTCCTACATAAAAAACGTCCCATAAAAAACTCATAATACGTAATCATGATTTATTTTTACGATTATAGAATATCTTAATTATTTGATTTTGATAACGTAAGGAATAAAGTAATGTTTAAAAGAATATTGCTTATGGGATACCTTTATTAGGGGTTAATATATAATGTGATATAGTGTTCTTCACTATGGTATCCCTGCGTGATATAGAACCTAGTAGCGCACATGGACCATTAACAATCTCTTACTGAAATCAAAATGGCAGACAGTAAGTGTGAGTTTTTGTACTTGTTTCTGTTCAAAATTTTCCCTAAATACAGAACCTAATATACTCAGAGTGACACGAGTTTATTAATCTCTTTTTCAGCTTCTGCAGTTGTTGAAGACACTTCTACAAACGCCAACCAAGGTATGAAACATTTGATTAACAGAATTCAAATTTGAGCTCTTTTTGCTTTCTTCCCGCGAAAAATCTTATCGACCACCCAGAGTTTAATTTGGCTACTTTATTTAGTTTTAACATGAATATTGACTGCATTTTCTTCTGTGTTATCTTAAGGCTCACTCGTGGCTCCTCCAAAGTTTGTTTTTGGGCAAAACATGTCCGAAAGAATCAAAACCGAGGTAGAAAATCGTCCTAACGACAACGTTCACTTCTTCGTAATTAACTTTCATTTTACATGTAAATCTGTATTGGAATTTGCGATTCAAAAATTTCAAAACCCTCGAACTGTTAACTCTTCACCAGGACGAAACACAGGGAGACTTGGAGAGTGATCCTGTTCCACAATATCAAGAGAAGAGTGTTACCGAAGTCGAGGAGGGAAAGAACTCGGACAGTGAAAATTCCCCACTCCATTCAGAAAAGAATGTTACCGAGGTAGAAGAGGGAAACAGGAATGCTGTAGTTAAAAAGGTAAGTTCTTTTAAAATCTTGAAATTCTTATTTTAATTGGAAATTTAAGATCTATCTCTGTCACTAAAGTTAGAAAAAATTTATTATATTTAATCGTTTTATCGACATTGTCCATATTTCCGATTTTATCTTTTCTTAATCTCATTAATGCTTACCTGAAAATAATTATTAGATTATTATTGTTCATTAGTGGGACATAATTAATCTTGATACATAACTCTTATCGTAAGACAATTGTGAACTGTGATCATTTAATAAGTCCTTGATATTAGCCCTACAGAGGCATTTTATGTAAGATATCTGGCTGAGCAAAACCAGACAATTTCAAGGTCTTATCTAGTATGTTCAATAAAAGATGTCTGTACAAATACTTGGAAAGAAATGTGGGTTGTTGTGTTGATACCAAAGCCTGTGATTTTCTGAAAATTTTTGTTATTTGTTTTAGCGTACCGCTGAATCTGATGACAAGAAGGATGTAACAGAAGATGGTGAGATTTTGAGACTATTTTTCAGTTAAACATGGTTAACTGTGTATGGTTGATAGCTATACATTCTAAGCCACAAGTGAAAAGCCAATAATTTGCAAACAACTATTGTTTTCATTTGTTTAAATGCATTTTTTATTTACGCAAAAGGGGGGGGGGGGGATATTTACCCCCCTCATCATCCCTGGATCTGCCTCTGTGAAGAGAGTCAAAAGACAAAGACCTGGCTGCCCTTTTGGTGAAATTTTTTGTGGAATACTACCAATATGATTGCAATGATATTACATGAAGATAACACTTGAATTATTGTTGATTATGTTGTATTGTAATTGTTATTTTTTATTTTGTTTCATGTAGATGGACCTCTATCTCCTGTCAAAAAAGTTGCTAGAGTCTTTCATGGTTAGTAAACTCTGCCATAATTAGCAATTAGTCCCCAAGCACAAATGGGCAATGAGTCCATAGCCCATGAGGTGGAAGGCCAAATGGGCTATTGACTCATAGGCCATGAGGGCAAGAGGACTAATTGTTTTAGTCAAATCCAACTAGTCGGTCAAATATTTAGATGCAAACAGTTCTGGAATTAAAGTTAAATTCAATTTTTTGGCTTTCAAAGGCTACACTTTTTGCAAATAGTAGACTATAACTACTTATAGCCTGCTAGTAGCTCATCCAATCAGAATGCAGCATTGATGATAGATCGCTAGTTGGATTTGACAAATGCTTTATTCATAATACTTTACAGGTGTCCACTTAGTGGCTTCTTTTCTCCTTCTGCACCACATTCCTTACCCAAGTTGATTCATAATTATTGAAAGAAATCTTTGTAGCCAGTCTCTCTAAATACTATAAACCTCTTTCACTAAACCCATATTTAAAATATTTCAATTCTCAAGAGAATGAATTCTTATGTTTTAAACACCGAGATTGGGAATCATTATCAGGGGGTAGTTTTATAATGTACTTCAAGAGCATGTCCATACATGTACCTTGTACATCCCCACAGAATATCAATGATTGTGTCCCAACAGATTTCCTTTTTTTATAATCTTAAATGAATGAATTTTCTCCAGACCTTCTCATGTAGGTGCAGTCAATAAGGGGGTACTGGATGCCGAAGGATATTCTTTAGAAGTGTACATAATTTCATCAGAAACTGGCTTTTAAAGGGTTATTTAACAAAGACCTTACTCTCATGTGAATTTCAGGTTCATCAGAGGAAGAAAATGAACCAAAACAGTTTAAACTCAAACCCTCTATTTTGACTGAGGTGGCAAAGAACTTAACAGGAGCATCAAACAAGGGTTAGTGAAGACTCCTTGATGCAAGAAGCTTTCATACTTGTGACTAAATATTTATTTCTAATTTTTACAGGAGAGAACTCTAACACTACTTCATCTTTACCCAAGGTATGACAGCAGTAAATCTGCCATAAAATCCACTTTGAGTCTATCTTTCTTTCTTTTCTTCCCCCCTTTCCCAATTTTATTCAATCATTCATCATTTCATTCATTCATTCACTTATTCATTTGTCAATTCTTCCCACTTACATTCAATCAATCATTCCTTCCATCCATTCATTCATCATTCATTCATTTGTTCTTTTCATTCATTCATTCATTCTCTTTCTCTCTTGTTTTCCAGACTTTTGGTTTATCGACCAGTGAATCCACCAGCACTGAAAACAGGAAAGGAGCCACAGCACCAGAACCTTTATCTGGACAAAGTACCAAAAACTACTTCCAAATGTTCCTGGACAAAAATGACAAGTAAGAAGACAGTTTGTTATGCCATAAATTTCCTTTATAATGTATAATAAAATAATTGAGACACTACGAATGCTCTGATTGATCAAAAACTGTGTCTACTGTATACACATATTTCAAAAAACATTGTTGGTCCGAGATCTGAAATGGGCTACCTGGGACTCAAGATACAACATCCACTTGTGTCTATACACTGTGATATAAACTCTCTGGAAGTTGTAAAGCACTTGAGATTTCAAACTTTAAATTGTGCTCTTCTTTCAGGGCTAATGATAGCCAGAAATCAGGAAGTTTTGTTTTTGGTCGTAACATGGTTGAACGTGTTGTGGTAAGTCCCAGCTTTACTAGTTTCTGATGACTCATCATGTATTTTGTTCTAGCTTATTGCCATCAAATTTGAAGGCAGCTTTGCATGGATACATTATTTCCATATGCAACGAAGGATGGTAAATATGCAACATTGTTTCCAAAACAAGGTTCATTTGTTGTTTCGTGGTCACTGTAGCAAAGAGACCCAATTCCACTTTATCATTCATTGTCATTATCATTCATTGTTATATCATTCATTGTCATTATCATTCATTGTCATATCATTCATTGTTATATCATTCATTGTCATATCATTCATTGTCATATCATTCATTGTCATATCATTCATTGTCAT